AGGCAAGATCTGAACCAGAGACTTTGCAGTCCAGATCTTAGACTCTGTACCAGCGTACTCTTGAAATCACATTCAGAAATCACATTCAGTTAGTCTCATTTGGTCGTCCATGGTAAATTTCTTTGCATCTCTGCTGTACTTTATGAACAGGGACACTGTAAGCATGTCTTCCTATATCCACCTTGAGAAAATGGTATCAATACTTGATTTTATCATTGGAGTGTGATCAGTTTCAGTACTCCAGAATGAATTATCCTAATAACTTCCTTTCCCCCATGGTAGGTATTGGCTTTCTCTTGGAATAAGGTTTATCCTTTCTTTTTTATTCCAATTTTTAAACCAAAGATGTTTAAACCATGGTAATTACAATGTAATGTCAGGTTATTTACATGATACCATATCATTACCAGATAAATGCACAATTAATTCAGTCCTCTAAATTGCACTGCCTCTTATACAGTAATTACTTTTAGATCTACTAAGCCTAATTACACAATAATCTGCTGAAGCTTGTAGCATATCTGAGCACTCCGTGTTATTTACTTGTCTGTTACACAGCACTTCCTCTCTGTGTCGTGTGTATGTGTATGTGGCATGCATACAAATAAACACACAATATGCAAATCTGCATTGGTAATCAGAAATGGAATGGAAACTTTTGCCATGGACAGGAAAGAGTAGAAAAATGGAAGAAAGAATAGGATCCACACGGGGAGAAACGGTTCTGCACAACCATTTTGGGATACATTCTGCCAACCATATGGAGCATACCAAAATATGACAGCTGACAGCCATTGCAATCTCTCTTGCAATGGCAGAATGTATAAAGCTAATATACTGGAAATTTGATGGACCCGCTTCTCCCTATTCCATCCTCATGAGAGATCCATCAAACACAGAAGAACCTCAGAGACCTTCTAGAAAACTTGATCTGAATACTTAGAGCTCTGTGAAGAGCCATGTGTAGCTTTATAAAGTTTGTGTAAATATTGTGCATAAACTCACTGTATAGTATTGCGTAAAAGAATCAAAAGTTTGTCTTCTGTCCTTCCTTCCTTTGCTTTAAACATTTACTTACATTTATTTACGAGTAAATATTTTTTCTGCCTGTAATGGCCACCAGAGTAATATATAACTTCAATGTGTATATCATGTTTTCTTTTTAAACAATGCTAGCATTATCATGAACATTCCTCAGGTTGGCAAACAATGCTGGTTGTTGGGGGCAATTTGTTTCCCATAAAAAGGAGGGAAGGGAAAGTTGACATTTAATAATGACAACAACCACCCCCCAAACAGCAATTTAATACCTTCAGTAAATGATCAGACAACTAATTTTGTTTGAAACCCGTATCTGTATTTTATAGTCCTTCTCCCACCTCGCTGCACTCCAACAATGTGCCGATGGCTTGCCAGGGATTTTCAAATATATACGAGAGATGCACAATTACTCAAATACAAATTGGTGATTTTACTTCCTGTGCTCAGGGATACAGTACCAGACATACAGAATGTGATGCTACCAGCGGTACAGAGAGGAGAGAGAGAGAGATGAAATGCAGGTATTAGATGAGAACATTTTTTTAAGAGAACTGTTCTGTCCATGATGCAGCGATAGTAAAATCCTTGATTCCTCTTTTGCAAACCACTTGGTCTGTTCTTTGAAGAAAAGGAAGAAAGACAGCAGGAAGTGCCATGGGAAGTGGAGATGGCCACCAATTTCGTTGGTATTAAAGAAGGACTGGACAGATTCATGTGGGTGGAGGTTACCCTTGGCTACTAGCCTTGCTGGCTATGGGCTACCTCCTTTACCAGGCCTGCATGCACCAGCTGCTGAGGAGCTTGGGAAGGTGGAGGCCTTGCACCCATCCTGCATGAAGGATCCAGTGGGCAGCTGGTTTGCCACCACGTGTATGGAATGCTCAACTAGATGGTCCTTTGGTCAGACGCAGCATGGCTTTTCTTACATTCGTAGATACTTAAATCAGCCATAGAATCTGACAGCATTCACTAAGGCTCATGCAAAGGTAGTGTGAAGAATTCACAGCATAGCGTTTTTTTTCTTCAGGATTCTCCTGTTGCTTTCTCCAGAAGGACGAGACAAGGAAATGCAACTTTAATTCGTAGCTCATAATAGAGGAAGTGGAGGCACATAAAACATTGTGGAATTGTGGGGGGTGTGGGGTAGGGAGCACAGTGGGTGGAAGCGTTGGGGAATTACATTGCTGGTTCCCTGCTGAAAAGCTTAAACTATTGACTACTGGCTCCCTCCTATCCCCATGACTCAGTCAACCACAGAAGTAATCATTTATTATTATTGCATGTACAGGTAAAGGTAAAGGTTTCCCCATGACATTGAAGTCCAGTCATGCCTGATGCCAGGGGGCGGTGCTCATCTCCGTTTGTCTGCAGACAGTCTCTGTGGTCATGCGGCCGGCATGACTAAACACCGAAGTGCGCTGAACGCTGTTACCTGCCCACCAAAGTGGTACCTTTTCATCTACTTGCATTTGCATGCTTTCGAGCTGCAAGGTTGGCAGGAGCTGGGACGGAGCAACGGGAACTCACCCCGTTGTGCAGATTCGAACCGGCGACCTTTCAATCTACCAGCCCAGCAGCACAGCAGTTTAAACCACTGCGCCACCTGCAGCCCTATTGCATTATAGCCAACCTTATTTTGTTGTAAGGAATTCAAGGCAGCTCACATAGTCTTCCTCTTCCCATCCTTTTAACTACTCTGTAAGGCTATACGGTTATGCTAAGACTTAATGACTGACCCAAAGTTTCATGACTGAATGGGACTAGAATCTGAATCACCCAACACCCTAAGCAGTACCCAAGATTGCCTCTTGGCTACAGGACTGGGCCAGGTCCCCTCTGTAAGAAAGACAAGCAAGATGAGACGGGAGGTTGGGAATGCTTCAGAAGGACCTATCCATACATTCACTACTGTTTTGTTTCCATATATAATGTTGAGGGAGTACAAGGAAAGATAATCACATTTGCAAATGATATAAAACTGGGTGGAATAGAAAACACCCTAGAAGACAGAATCAAGATCCAGGATGATCTTGATAAGCAAGAATCTTGGGCTGAAAGCAACAGAATGAGATTCAATAAGGACAAGTGCCAAGTCCTCCACCTAAGAAAAAGAAACCAAATGCATTGATACAAGATGGGGAACACGTGGCTCATCAGAACTGAAAAAGACATTGGAGTTCTTGTGGACAACAGGCTAAATATGAGTCAACAATGTGATGCAGCCACAAAAATGGTAAATGCTATTTTGGGATGCATTAACAGAAGCACTGCTTCCAAACCACAAAGTTGTTCCCTGTACGCTTCACTAGTCAGACCTCATCTGGAATACTGTGTCCAGATCATGCACCATGATTTAAGAAAGATGCAGAAAGATTAGAAAGGTCCAGAGAGGGCAACAAAAATGAACCAGGGTTT